CTCTGCCTCCCAAGTAGCTGGGACCACAGGCGCCCGCCACAACACCTGGCTATTTTTTGGTTGCAGCTGTCATTGTTGTTTGGCGGGTCCAGGCTGGATTCGAACCTGCCACCTTAGGTGTACGTGGCTGGCGCCTTAGCCGCTTGAGCCACAGGCACTGAACCAACTGAACTGCATTTAAAGGAAACGGCAGGAAGGACATATGCCAGTACTGCTTCTTGTCTAAAAGGGACACAGAGAAAAGGGAAACCTGATTTGACAAATACCGAAACATTCAAACACCAATGTAGTGGAAGAACCCTTGCAAAATAAATTATAGCAAACACCTTGTACCCAACCAAAAACTATTTTATAAAATATTATGTGATTTAGTACAATTTAAACATGACTTAATCATCTAAAGTTGAAATATTCTTAGAGTTTTTTCATTCTCCCAAAATGTTTTAGCTCTTTACAACTAGCTTTATAGTATCCTATTTACTAAAAAGGAACTAAGATATTTCCTTAACAGTTCTCAATACTGCTTTAGGCTCAGCGCCTGTGGCTCAAGTGGCTAAGGTGCCAGCCACATACAACTAAGGTGGTGGGTTCGAATCCAGCCCGGACCCGCCAAACAACAGTGATGGCTGCAACCAAAAAATAGCCGGGCATTGTGGCAGATGCCTATGGTGCCAGCTACTTGGGAAGCTGAGGCAGGAGACTTGCTTGAGCCCAGGAGTTGGAGGTTGCTGTGAGCTGTGATGCCCCAGCACTCTACCCAGGGGGACAGCTTGAGGCTCTGTCTCCAAAAAAAAAAAATACTGCTTTAAAATTTTTAGAAGGGAAAGGCAATACATACAGAACTCCTTACTTATGCAGAGACTGTGCTAGATGTTTTATATAATTAGTATAGTAAATCTTTACAACAAACTTCTTATTCTTTTTTATTTGTTTGTTTGTTTGTTTAGAGACAGTCTTGTTTTGTTGCGTCACAGCTCACAGCAATCTACAGCTCTTGGGCTTAGGTGATTCTCTTGCCTCAGCCTCCTGAGTAGCTGGGACTACAAGTGCCCGCCACAACTCCTGGCTATTTTTATGTCACAGTTTGGCTGGGGCCGGGTTCGAACCCACCTCCCTTGGTATATGGGGCCAGCACCCTATTCACTGAGCCGCTGGTGCTGCCCAACCACAAACTTCTGAGATAGCTGTTGTCCCCTCCATTTTACAGAGGAGGAAACAGGCTTAGCAAATGTAACTAACTTAGACCTTAGTAGGATTATTGCTTTTCTTCAAAGCATTTTACTCAACATTATTTCATTTATATATGTTTCTATTTTACAGATGGCCTCATTGAGGTCCAGAGAAATAAAGTGACTTGCCTAAGATCATATTTGAATAGTGTGAGAATAGTAAGATTTGAGGGAGACGTGGGGTTACCTGGGAATTTTATAAGATGCTTAAGACGTTCTTTAAGACATTCATTAATATGTACCTCATGACTTTATTGTACTTATTCCCTTATTATACATAGCAGTGATCCAGTGACAGTTGAGTAGATGAGTGATCTGTAACATGGATGCAGTGAGTCAGCAGGTTGGATCAAACTAAAATAATTTGAAAAAAAACTTTCATACAAAGACTGCAACTTTCAATTTAGTAATCTGACTTAATAAAGAATATATACGGAAAGATGTTTATTATTATCGTCATCATTATTATTTTTATTGAGGCAGGGTCTTGCTCTGTTACCCAGGCTAGACTGCAGTGGCCTGATTGTAGCTCATTGTAACCCTGAACTCTGGGGCTCAAACAATATGCCCACCTCAGTCCCAGCAGTGGCTAAGCACTATAGGTGCATGCCACCATACCAGGCTTGTTTTAAGACTTTTTAGTAGAGATTAGCTTTTGCTGTGTGGCCCGGACTGGTATTGAACTCCTAAACTCAAGCAGTCCTGCCTTGGCCTCCCAGAATATTGGGATCATAGGCATGAGCCAACCCACCTGGCCTGAATATTATTTTTAATAGTGGAAAATTGGAATTATTCTGGAACAAAGGAATGGTTGAATAAATTGATGGTAGTTGATGGAACATTAGCCAATAATATGGTAAGTATAAACACTCTAATAACATGGACAATATTGAATGTGCTGAGGGGAAAAAGCAGAATACAAATTGTCATGTTTGCATCATTTGCAATCATGTAAAAGTTATGTAAATATTGATAAAAATTCAAGGAGAACATGAATAAATGAAAGCTGTCCAGTTGAGTGGTGAGATTATGTAGGATTTTATTAGTGTTATAATGTTAATTGTGTAATAAACCAATATGAGGGGATATGCAGAACAAAAATAAGTATATTCTGAACATATCCACTGTACTTTAAAATATATGGCATATTATATTGATACTTAGACATTTCTTTGGAAGCAGAAAAATATAATTTTCTTTCTTTCTTTTTTTTTTTTT